GAATTTTGCAAGGGGTTAGCCTTGCACATTAATTCAGTTTTGAGCAAATTTTGACTCTACTTCAAACCTATCAAAAATGATTGTAGATGACTGACGATGTGTTCTAAACACTAAGAGGTGTCTTTTGTGCAAGTTTCAAGCAAATTCAGCGCAGAAAATTTTTGCCCCAATGTTAACACTTTTGCAAGGAGTTAGTTAGCCTTGCATTTTAATTAAATTTTGTTTTTCCCGCAAATCTCTTCAAAATGCTTGTGGATGACTCAGAACGCATTCAAAGCATTTAAAAGGCATCTTTTATGCATGTTTCAAGTATATGTACATTTAAATTTAAATAAATTTATGCTTTGCATATTAATTAAACTTTGACCAAATTTTGACTTTTCTTCATACCCACTAAAATGCTTGTAGATGACCAACAATGTGTTCCTAAAACGTAAGTCGTTTATGTCATGCAAATTTCAACCCAAATTAAATAAACTATCAAAGGGGGTCAGCCTGGCACTTTTATAACATTTTTGACTGATTGCGACCTTTCTCCAAACCATCTAAAATGTTTGTTGACTACCTGGAATTTTTTTAGGACAAAGAGATGTCTTAAATGAAATTCCAGGCAGTATTAAGTTAACCAGGTGAAACAACACAAATTGGAAGGGGTTAAGGTTTAAGGATTTTTAATAAGATGATGATGGAGTTAATCTTGTGCTACTAATTAAAAGTAACATTTTCAGTTTTTCCTTCCACATACATGTATAACATACTTTTAAGTTAAAAATAATTATGTTGCAAAAAATTGTCTTGTGATTCCCAGTATTAGGACACATCTGAGTAAATGTAGCTATATGGTGATTCCCCAGAAAATCTTTCAGAATTACATGTGCATTCCAAAGTAACACCAGAATCATATTGGTTTATACACCTTTGTGGTAAGGTCATTAAGAATTTATAACAGGGACCTTGTATTATTAGTTTTTAGAAAACAAAGAAATACAAAAAACTTGGGAACCTAAAATTTATCCTGTTATAATAAAGCAGGATATTGCAATAACNAGTATTGGACTTTACTCAACAGCATCATGAAATTCAGAAAAGAGAGAAATGTTGACAAGCAATACAGATAAACAAAAAGACAACATTGAAAATTCAACACTGGAGTAGAAATTAAAAGTAAGGTTGACTTTCAAACAGATAATGTACATGTACATGCATTTGGGTCATTATATAAGGATGGAATCCAATTTTTCGCATCCCTGTCACATCTGACATATCATTTGTAAGTTAGGAACACATTTCGTAATTTCGAGACGTGACTGAATCTCCAACCGTTTGAAGTCTAATTTCATTGAAATTTTCATGTCAAATTACACAGGTCAGATGTAACAGGGACTCAAAAAGGTCATCATAATCACTAATGGTGGTACGATTTTCAAAGTGGGAGAAGGAGAGAGATCAGTTGCCATGGATGAGAGACCATCAGGCATCAGTCATTAACAGCCCTACCCCATTACCGGCAAAAAGTGTGTGTGGGGGGGCATACCCCTAGTTGAAAAAAGTCGGGAGGATTTTCTCCCCCCTCCGTGCTTCACAACTTTCCCATTGTACTTTTCCAACAGCAACAAAGCTATTGACAAATTTGTCAAGCAGGCTAGCATTTACTCTTGATAACAATATCAGGTTGGGATGTCAATCATCTTAAGAAAAAAGTTTTCCTCTACCTAATGTGTGAACTTGCCATTCTGTTAGATGTAATCAGCATTGATTAAACATGCAATATACAAAGCTACACATACATGTATACTTAAGTGTGTTGTTTTGTTAAACATTAATTGCAACAAACAATATACAGTGTTTCTAATATAGCGACAAAGAAATGACTAAAAGCCAGTGTGTAACATTAAAAAATTACCACAGCATTTTACCTTCATTCAAATTGTCACTTTTTTGAACAACTCCAAAATCAATGGGCATAGTTTTGCCAATTTTCAACATGTTAACCTGAATCACTGCTATCAATTACTCACACTTGATAGCAGATAAACATACATTATGTTACAAGTTAATCAAAAGTCATAAGTTGTTCACGTGACCTAGGAGTAGGACAAAGGAGTTCATCCTGATCAGATATGACTAATAGTTTATGACAGACTTGTTAGAGACTTATTTATTTACAACACTGGTATTTCATGTACATTGTACTGTATGTACTTCGAGATTCACTCAACTTAAATTCTGGCCTCTAGTAGATTATAATTTGCAGGAAAAGGAAAATGATCTTTTGATGTCATATCAAAGATTTGAGCTGCGAATTGGCAAAAGTTGGACACATTTCAACTCAAGTCAATTTTGATGCAACTTTTTGTCATCTCCTATTTGCTTCGCATTCACCTGAAGTATGAACCGGCTTTAAAAATTAATTTTCGGAGAGGTTTTTTTATGATCATATAAGTACGAACACAGGTACAGTTTCTGTGCTGCTACGTCATGAGAAGCAATATACATGTATGTACAGCATTCCCATCAATTCCTGCTATATGTACTTTTATGAAAGGAAAAACAAATGAAACGTGCCTGCTTTCAGACTTCCTCCCAAGAGGGCAAAATTGCAAGACTGCTGACCATCAGACATTGTATGTCTATGGGCTTCTAGTTTTTAAGAAGCCGAAAACAGCTATTGCAGTAACCTTGACAACGGGGGTTTCCGTAATTGGTGCATCCTTCGCTCAGACAACCCATGTCAGTGCGATTGGCTTCTGGCCGGGGTGGAATTCTTGGACCGGACTCAATGTTCAGTATCTTCTCCTCCCTTGTGCTGCAGCCTGGCGGCTGGGGGTAGAATCTTGCCTGCGATCCGCTGTTGGCCAACAGGGGCTCAGGGGTATAGCCATGCTGCCGGTAGACTTGATGGCAGGCATTACAGTAGCCCTCCAGTATCTGCAAATTGGCCTGGTTGTGACAGCTGGGCCGGGCACACTTTTGATAGTTGGCCGGTAAGGTGTGACGCTTGTGGACCATAGGCAGATCGTGCTGTCTCTCGGAGTACATGACCTCCGTCTGAGCTCTGGGTGGAGCCTGTGGGATGCGGGGGGAGGGATTTAAAGGCGCTGTATGGTACTGGTGGACAGGGGACTGAGTTGGTCTTGTTTCAGCATGACACAGTGGTGGAGAGGCTCGAGCACGAGTGCGTCTCATGGACATCTTTGCAAAGCAACGAGAGCAAAGATTGCCGCACTCAGGATCACCAAACATGTCATCCACGCATCCTAACATATTCAAAAACAAAAAGATATTAACAAATGAGTATCAATTTTTTTTGAATATGAGTATCAAATTTTTGATTTGATCAACAGAAAAATAGAGATTCAAGTTTCTGATTTGACTATCAAAACCAATATCAGAAATCATCTTAGCCAAAGAATTCACAACACCTACATGTATTACCTCCAACTCATCTGGGGGACTTCAGGAACACTATGCCAATGAGGTTGCTTTATAATTCTGTTCATAACATGGTTCCTGAAACACCTTTGAGGCTAAGTAATCTCACAGGCAGAGAACAATTCTTTGAATAAAGGATATACACTGAGGTGAAAATTATGTGTTATTATGTCTGTCAAAGGAAAAAAAATCTGAAATCTGGCCCTAAATAGCAAACTCAATGTAGTGTTATAAAGGCTCAGAACCAGACAAGAAAACAGATTTCTGGTAGACAATCCGCCGGCAAGAGACTAAAGACAAGCCGTGGTAAGGGAAATCATTTCAATTGCATCAACAGCAACTTTGCTAAAACATAACATTGGGAAGTTAAAGGCTATGACTGGAACTAACAGGTGCATATAAAAGTGGCTGTGGCTGCAGAGGCCTACATACATGTAGGTAAGTATAGTATTCCTAGCCACAGCCAACATATCTGGACTTGGTTGGCTTTGCATTCTCACCTCCTGGCACTTGGCATTTGACACGATTGATGCGGATGTTTTTGAAACCAGCCTCTGTCGCGCTGAGTGAAGCTTTGCTAAAGACTGTTGGAAAAAGTGTTAAAGAAAATAATCAACGACTTCTGAGGAAAAGAAACACTAAAAGGGATGGAATTTTAGAAACATGGAAAACTGGAACTAAAACTCAATATCATGATGTGTGACACACAGCGTAATAGACAAAATTTCTTTACACTGTCTTATTGGCTGGAACAGAACATAAAATGATATCAAGTACTTTTGTTCTGTCTACCTTTTGGTTGACTCGGCTCAGCCGGTTGGGGCTGTAATGTCCCACTTCTGACTGCCTGCTGCTTCACAGATTGCTGTCTGTCTTCATCTTTGAACTGCTCTGCTGCAACGGATATGCACTCTTCACACAAAATGAACTTGGGCGGTGCTGCTAGATTGTTACAGCGAGGATGCTTGCACCTCCTTCCAAGATCTCCTGAGGCAGGGGCGTGATTCTTGGTCCCTGCCTCAAATGCCGAAGGAGCTGTGTTGACTGAGGGATACACAGCTCCTCTCAAGTGACTCTCAGCTTGTTTGGGTTGTGACACAGTCATGTAATTATTGCCGTTTTCCCAGAGCCGTGCACGTCCAACCCCGATGACAGGTGTAGGTAACTCCTGGCGATTGGGTTGCACCTGACCAAGTAAGGTGCCTGGAATTCTAGCCTGAACAGTTGGGGCCAAAGGGGGGTTCCTATTATTCTTACTGTAGCAATTAAAACAGTATCCACTGTAAGGTGGCGTGTCAAGACGTATTCCTTCACAGCCGGCAGTGGCACAGATGTTCTTCTGGACCGTCAACTTGGACAGCTTCCTCCCCGGATACAACTGCTCATTGGAGGCAGCTGCAGCTCCAGGAAGTGCACCTGCACTGCTGCTGGTAGCACTGGTGGTTGCCTGTGATGCAGAGTAGGCAGGTGGCTGCTTGATTGCAGCTGCTGGCTGATAACCCATCTTGGACTTTTTGACCTCCTGTTCCACTTGGAGGTTCTCAGTGTAGCACTTGCCACACATATCATTCTTGGATGGATCTCCAGTCAAGGGACACTCCGGCATGATGCACTTCTTGGAGGGTACCTGCTGGTGGACAATTAGGGAATTAAGTTCGTCATCTGGACTGTTTGCCATCCCTTTATTCACACATGCTTTCTCAGCCATGGGCTCCTTTCTTCTAACTGCCATTCCTGCATATCCAACAGAAGATGAGCCTTGACTAAGGGGTGCTTGGAGGGGATTCTGTGTGCTGCCGACTTTCTTGAATCCATACGGACTCTCATCAACTTGTGCAGGTGGTGCAGCCTTATTGGCATTGGGTTCCAGACTTATTTTGCTCAACGGCGGAGCAGTGGCATCGACAACTGCGTCCTCATTCAGCTTCCTCTGGTCAAAGCAGACCCGGCAGAGACCTTGGCAGCCCTGCTCGGCAGGGTTAAGACATCGATCCCCCTGACACATCTGGCTTTGGGATCGCTTCTGGAAACATTCGTGACAGTACTCCCCAGTGCTGACAGAGCGGTAGTAGACACATCCTTCTGTCTTACAAGACTGTTCCACCAAGGAGAAAGGCCTGTGGAAGGGAGGGTGTGGCTTTGACACACTACCAGCATTACCAGCTGCATCTGATGGCTGACCAACAGGTGCACCAGCTCCAGACCATGAAGTTTTCCCTTCCTTGGGCACTGCATGATAACTAACGGGTGGAAAGGATTTGGGCTGATCTTCCAGTGAGTAGAACTTTTCTGGGTCTTTCGCCATACCAACATCTGACTTTCCACCGGTCTCTACACTTTCATCAGTGCTCCCAAATTCCCTCTCAAGGTAAAGCCGGTAATGAGTCTCTGCAAGCTTTAAGTAGGGAACCATGAGATCCAGATCGGGGTTGAAATTCTTGCTGGCAAGTTGAGCTCCTGGTATCCCATGAGGTGAGCCAAGGCTCCTCCCAATGTGGGTGATCTCTTCGATGATCAGATACTCCTGTAGAAGTCTATCAACATGCTTCTCTTCCTCTTCTTCCAGAAAGTGCACCTTCATGTGCGTGTAGTCTTGCTGGACAATCGGAAAGAGGTGGTTGTCCAGGTCATCTTCTGAGTCTAGCTTGGCCGTGCACAGCAGTGGTGTGAAGTGGTTCTGGTGGAAGCCCAGGAGGATGGGGTGGCGGTAGCAGGTGGCTGGGTCCCAGTTGAGCGGCAGGTAGATCCCGTGCAGGTCCTGAGGCTGCAGGGAGTGGCCCAACTGACTACGCATCATGTCCTGGGCCACCACGATAATGGGACGCCGAAGCATGTTGGCCAACATGAAGATGTGGAACTGCTCCAAGCTTTCATAGGGGAGGCCTTGGGCTGTGGTCAGTCGTCGCTCTGGACTTGCCATTGTTTTAATCATGTCCCATTCACTTTCCCACTCCTATAAAAAAAAATTGAATCCTCAACATCTTGCCAGCACAAACAGCAATGTTACACAATAACTAGTTTATAATACTTTGCAACAAATAAATTTTTTAATAAAAAATCACATCAGGTCAAAAAAATCCTGACAGACAGTTCTTACTATGGTGTTGTACACCAAACCACTCCCTGGTATAGCAGAATCCACTCTCATACGCTCTCGCTGCCAACGCAGACGATTCCGTTCATTCTTATCATCCCTCAGAAGCCGAAAGAGGGCAGTCCGCAGGACCAGCTCATCGTCTTCTATGCCCCACATTGCCAGGGAGACAGCATGGAGTAGGCAGTTACCATCACCTAGGAATGAAGGTTGAACGGACATGATAAATATATCTGGTGATTTCAACTAACCTTAATGAGTAGGTGATGATGACTGATTTCAAAATTGCCCAAAACTAAACAAACCTTACCACAGCTTTGTCACATTCTCTTCCAATTCCCTTATAATAATACATCCTCCATCTTTATTGTTACATCACGTTTTGGGTTTCTATTGGAAGGTCATTCTCAGTTTTTGTTGTAATTTTAGCAAAAGAATCTATTTAGGCAGCTTGATGACAGCCTGGCTCCGGGCTCCTACCTGGTGTTATCAAAGGGTAGACCTTCCTGACTGAAGGGCACCAGTTCATTAAGCCCTCACGCTCAAGGATGTACAGCAGGACCGGATCAAACATCTCCTTCTCAAGAAACATCTTGAGTTCCGGGGGGAAACTCTCCCAATGTGGAGGAAGGAGAGAAGTGAAGGTGGCCATATGGAGGAAGAAACGAGGCAAGACGTCATCATGCCTGGACGATGAAAAGAAGTAAGTGCAAATGAGTCGGTAGGGGACTTGAATCAGATTCTTGGTGGTAGATCTCGCTTTAAACTGGACAACTGCTCCTTCTCAACCTTCGATCAATAATCTACACATGTGCCCACAGAGGGACCTACATACACGTATTTCCTACTGTCTGGCAAAAATCAATTAAGGTAAAGTACAGGTACCTTGTCTCAGGGCACAGGCCAGTTTCCAGACACGTACAGCCACGTACCACTGTCCGTGACTGCCCATGCAGTTTCACTCAGAATCTTAACAAATCTTCCAAAATCAATCCCAATCATTGAACAGCAAAGCTCTTGCATTTCAGTTTTCACAGGGCATCAAGATGAAAGCAAAGTCCTGGTTGTTGTTGGATTTGAAGGATGTGGGTTAAGAAAAGCACACAGCAATATCTCCAGAAACCAGTCATTGCAAGAAATGAAGCCGTATGATCATTGACCTCTCTGGTTGAGTTCAAAGCAACCTTAGGGAGACTGAGGATGCAAGTACATGTACATGTACCTGATGACCCTTAACGGAGAGACAAAACATTTTCCTCACCTGTGTTGCTCTATCTCCTCCCTGACGCGACATCTTAGCCGACTTGTAATATTGGGCTTAGCATCTGCAATCTTGTTTGGAAGTCGGAGAGGAGAACGTTGCTCCGTCTGGTCTGCCCTATCTTTTGGAGACATCTTGCCACGTTTGTGTATGAAGTAATGTCCTTTAGACAATTTAATCAGGTGAAATCAGGCACAAGGTCAGTATATATTAGTTGTGATTATCTGTAACGAGAAAAAAAAAGATAGGTGACTACTGATAGTAACGAAAACTAATATACCGTCATGTCCATGAAAATCTGGTACGGTGACACTGAGGTGGTATCACTGTCCAAAGTGGACTTTATGGGTGAAAAATAATTGGAATGGAAAAGGGCAAGCTTCAAACCAGAGAACAAAGTGATGTGCCATTTTCACTTTCAGTCAAAGCTTGAAAAAATAATTTTTTTACAGAGAATAGAAGGTGAAGGACAATTCTTCAAACTTTAAGTCTGTCAGCAATGCAGTGGTGTTAATACAAAATCTGAATGTACTACTCACAAAATTTCTACAAGATTCAACGCTAACACCGATTAGGCACCAGTGCACATCAAGCATGATGGGCAATCCAACTCACCTTGTGTAATCACACCGCTAAGGGACACAATCAATGGACCTTTATCTCACCTATTTTCCACAAATGTCATTCTAAATAATTCCCCTCTTTTTACACCTATTTAGAATGTGACCCAAGCAACCCTTTCCCCATCTGTTTTCAGGTAAACTTTTCCGATGCTGAATTCTGCAGCTATTTCTGATAACAACCACTGGTATAATACCTGATTTTCCACTCAGATTCAGGCATGAGTAATTTTTTTAAAAACTGCAACCAATGGAAGGTCTAGTTCAATAGCTGAGTTCAGTGTACATGTGGCAACAGCTTTCTGGCAGCCAGTCACACCATTTGTTTACCACTGTTTACAGAAACCCACAACAACATGCATTGCTAATGTATGCGCTGATGGCCAATTGATTCTTTGGCTCATTGTATGATCATTTGCATATGTGCTAAAAAATAGTAAGCAGCCTGGTAATCATTTCTTTGGAAAGACTTAGATTTGTCAGTTTGCATGACATATACCTGTGGCTGTATATGCCTGTGAGTTTAAAACAAAAAATATTTAACACCTCAATCTTCAAAAAATAAATTTAACTAATAAACAAACACAAGCTTTGAAAATCAGCAAATAGGACTTAGTTCATATTAGAAAAAATACCTGTCACCTGCCTGAGAGATCCAAAAAGTTGAGTTCAGACTACGTAAGTGTACCTTAGGTGCATACCATGGCAAAAAGAACTTGACAAATTAAGGCTAAAATCCACGGTAAACAATAACATCACAACATGAAGTACGCTCCATAATATTTACGATAAATTTTGAGGTGGCTTCGCATCAACTTTCTACTTTTTTAGAACTATTTTTGTCCAAGCATTTCCTTTCGCAAGGAAGTTGACATCGACGCAATTTAATTTGTTAAGCGAGCGATTTTTTATTTTTGTGACCCGTAGGTTTATATCTCACCTCCAGTTCCGCAAGAACAGGAAACAGTACTTACCCAACTCTTCCAAGTAGTCACCAGTTTATTTTTAATTCCAAATTTGATCAAATAGAAAAGAAAAATCCTGAGTTCCCGTTGGAAATTGTCATTGACGGTACGTGTACGTTACGCGGGTTCCAAATCTAGTCGATTTCGGAATAGCGAGTGGAATTCCCCTTTTTTGGAAAGAACCATTTTGACGAGGGGTAATCAGGACTAAGGTCAACCACAAACAGCAAAGCTAAATTCATCTCAAAACTACCTAAACCTGGTATTTGAGAAGTGATATCTAAAACTGTTCATTTATTATTTTTAGATACAACTCCGTAAATAATTCTGACACAGTATGGCTAGAATTCCGTTTTCCCAAATGAAACGATATTGGTATTCACCCGAAGAAGGCCGGCAAACAGCTTTACGTCACAATTTCTATGCTATTTATACGCACACGCGCTCAGCCGTTATTCGAAGAATGACTGCTGACCGCTAATGACGGATACCAGCGACTCGCTTGGTGTGCAATGCAAAAAGGGGGTTCCCCAATTCGACGCAACGTTCCTTGTCCACCTCCTTCAGCTTGGTTTAAACATAAATGTATTTGCACTGTAAGATCATCGGGGGATATCATTAATTGAACTTTCAAGAATCTCTAATTCAAGTCACGTGCTTTCACTGGTGCACCGCAAGATTTATTCATACATGTTCAAAAGTCCCCCTTCCTTGGACCCTGCTTTTATTTCCATCATTAGGCCCCTATCAAGCGGATATCTCAGTTGTTGCTCATACTTCGGAGGCCAATCCGACATGGACGAAGGAATGGGCAGTGCGGCGCACTGCCCATTCCTTCGTCCATGCACTGCTGCACCACCTTTTAGGGTCTTGATTTCAATTAAAAAGCCTAGCAACTTGTTAAACCAATCTGTGGCTGCATACTGAAACAATGGGCACAAGTTGTGCGCGGAGCAATTAATGAACTTGGTTTTCCTGCAGTTTCGAACTTCTGCAGCCGGTACCGTCGGCTAACGAGAGCTCACGTCCACTGGGTCCGCCTCATGCGTGGCGGGATCGGCTCATGAGCCTGAGCCAATTCCATCTATAAACTTACCTCCAGATAAGTTCGACCGAGGGATCCTATCGATATCGCATCCTCCAAGCGTCTAACAAAACGTACAATGACACTGAGATTTTCCCTGTACGGTGTGCCTGTCGGAGTTGATGGTACTAAAAGTTATTTCCGTGTTCCAAAAGCGTACGTAGCGTGTCACTTGCTTGACAGGCATGTCAACTGTCAATGATACTTTCATTACTTACTTACTCAGCGACAATATGGAAATGGCCAAAAGAGGAAAACAAATTAACTTAATATTTTAAAACAGGCCTACTGAAAACTGGCAAAGAAATACCTCGTGGAATTTAAGATGAAAAAATTTTCCAACAATCTTCAATGTCGTGACTGATGTTGCCATGTGATTAAGTTTGTCACCGTAAAGAATTTCAAACATGATGCAGAACTGAATTGCTGGATTGAGGCAAGAGAACATGCAATAAGCTCCATAAAGGCAATCTGTAACGTTGATTAGGAAAACAAAAATCAGCTTTATATCCAGACGAGTTGTTGGACGGTGTCAACAGGAAATAGGTCTAAGAGTCCTGCAAAATGATTGGCACAGATCGGTGACAACGACACTGAAAGCGTTTCATTTTCTTACTTCCAAAATCAATTATTTTTTCGTCAGCATTCGATCTCGATGGCGCTTGCAACACAAAGTTCAACAATCAGGAAACGTTGGCCAGCATTGCGCAATGAAAATGGTGTCATGAGTGATAGCGTCACCGGATCGTAGTGGGGGAGCGTTCTCATTGTTCGACTTTGAACCAGAAACTTGGTTGCGCTCAAAGCCTTGAATGACTCGCTCGGTTAGTCAGAGCAAATTGTGACAAAAGGTTTCATATAAGTGGAGGTTTCTGTCATTACAATCCTGGAACAAAGGAAACCCCAAAGACGGAATTCAACAAAAGTTAACTTGATTATTCATTTTAGCCGGACGTTTATAAATGCACGTACGAATGCAGCATTTCGGAACTGAAATTACGACATGTTTTCCTTCCAATGATACATTGCTGTTCTTTTGACCACGTCCACCACTCCTATTCTATCACTTTACTGGAATTACTTTACTGGATGTTTTAAATCAAACGTCTAAGTTGTACACTTTTGGGCTGTGATTAAGCTCTTTTGCTAAATTAATTGTATATCAACTAAGTTAACTCTTTTCTGATTATTTTACAAGTTTACATTTTTTTAAGTCATTCGATTAAAATAATTCTCTGTTGACTGAAAGAGGTACAGGATAGGATGGAAAAATGGAACTTATCATATAGCCCAGAAATGTGAATTTGCGGAGTTTGACCTCTTCGAGTATGAGCGATACAACATTACAAAAATTTTGCTCGTCCCCACGTCTTTAGGGCAAATGCCTTTCACAAAAACATTAAAGGCGCCCTCTAAATAAACACCATGAAGCAACGGGCGACAGCACACGACGCGTCGTGCGTCGTGTCTTGCTTCAGGCAACGTCATAGGCGACGCGATGCACGACACGGCGTACGAACGTCCCGCTTGACAGTGCGACGCGACAGAAGGGGCAACGTTTAAGCAGATAAAAAGGCAACAAGGAAAGGACCTAAGACAGCACAACGCGACGGATGACGGCATGACGCGACGCGTCGTGTGTGTACAAACGTAATGGCAAGAAGGCGACGGTGCGACCCGATGGCACGACCCAAGGGAGCCGTCGTGCCGCTGCGTCGCCTGGAGGGAGGCTAAAGAGAGAGAAATGTGTGACAATCGTAAATATGGTGTACACCATACGTCATAGCTACCGTCGCACAAAGCATGGCTGTCCTAATCAATGCATGTATTCAATGGACACGCGTCATGCGCACGCGAAAGTTTTGACCCGAGTTAATGTTCAAAATGAAGTCTTTCCATCCAATGAGTGCTCGACAAAAACTGCAAATTTATCTTTACCACCCCAGCGCCAGGTGAGGGCAGTTGGGGAAGAGCAAATATTAAAAGCACGTTAGAAATAGAGGGCGTTAGACAGTATGTTAAACGATATTACCAACTGAACTACGTTGGAAGATCTACTTAGGCCTACTCATCTCTGCATAGCTTTTGTGATTATCAGGTACGAAATCACAAAAGTTGCAAGGGTGTTCAAAAAGTGCACGCATTTCCTTCCAAATATAATAACGTCAGTCACCTTCATTATGTGAATAAACAGTCATCTGGGATGTGTTTAAAAAGCTACAAAGCGACGGAGACTTCAAATGGTCACGTCAAAAGTTGCCAAACGCAGGACAACAAACAAGAGATCGAGAAGAAAGGCCATTTAAAGAAATGAAGCCAATTCCTCGTGCAGTTCCTGCATCCCCGACAAAACGTCATCCTTACAAGTTGCCCGCCACCTACGAATACGGACAGTATGGGCGCGATATGGGCAAGATAACTACATTTTGCTCCGTGTGCGAGGATTTTCTAACCTGAGGAATATGGGTTGCCTTTCGTAATCCGATAAAACTGGATAAGGGGATGTAGTTTTATTTTAGCTTTTTACTGTATAATTTGAAGGTAATCTTAATTTAGTTTTAAGATCATAGTATATATTTTATTTATGTACACTGTTTTATTATGCAATGGGATTTAAATAATAAATATCATTTATTATTATTAAAGTGCAACAGCCTGCTGGCCCGATCAAAGATTCAAACAATACGAAACAAAATTGACTTTTTGCACTGCTCCGCGCCGTCAAGCATCAGGGAGTCGGTCGGTGGTTCAGTTTAGTACTTACCAACGTAGTCAATGTGTCACAAGGAGAAATTAATGTAAAGGATCACAATGACACTTTGGGAATACTCCTAGTCATTTTGTTTACGTTTCAATTCGCCTGAACCTCAGTTCATACATTTTGTACTATGCAAAATCAAGGTTACTCAAAATATCAAGTGCGCGTGCGCGTGCCCAACGTGCATGCCGACTAATTTAAAACTAGGTACGAAGTCTTCTTCAATTTGGCGTTTACACGAATTGTAATGTTGATAACATCGCATTTTGTGGAGTTTGTGGGTAACTCTGGAACATTTGATTTGAAATCGAAATCCTACTACCTTGTTTCTCTCAGAATATACAGCATTCACTGAACTCGAACTTCATAAAATACGTTGTAAAGCACCCTTCTTTAGATATTCTGATGAGGTCCGTAAGGCAATGCACGATGTCACAACAGTGGCAATGATTTTAGCGATTTTTGCTTATTTTTTCTTCTTTTAATTCACCTTTTAAGGAAAAGTAAATGTCTGTTATGCGCATTTGCTGGGCATTCAGATGAGAAATATTGCCCAAAAAATTATGAAAGGTTTCGTCTTCACTGAAAAGGCCTGCCACACTGACATGCACACATTTTAATAAGCCGAGAGATTGGAACGTGATAAAGTGTAAAGCTGACATCCTTAGGGGCGATGGGATCTGGAGGCAATATTCACACCCAGGAAGAAGGCGTGTGAGAAAACCAATTTTCAATCGTCTTTTTTGGCCAACAAAGATGAAAGGAGCAGATGTTTCATTCTGGTAGGTGGATTCCGATGATAAGCTTAATGAGTTTCAGCAGTGCCTTGATATGTGCGCAAAAATGCCTCAGTTACTGTCGGTTATAATATTATTACAACATAGGATTTCAAGCTAATGTAAGTCATACAGGTGCGTTGAGCTGTAAGTAAAACTCCGATTAGTGATGGATGATGATAGATTATAATTGTTTAAAGGAACCAGGAAAAGACTCTTTCTTAGAATCACTTTTTGTTTATCTCTGTACTCTTCTTCCATGTATGAAGACTGCTTGACATCTTTTTTGACTTTTTGAAACATGAAAAAGTGACCAAGCATTTCTGGACAAGTGAGGGCGCTTTTGCTTTGATGTAAATCCAGGAAGACATGGTGCAGGTTGCATGTTTTCCTGTTCAAATTGTGAACCCCAACTTTGCTATCTTGGAACATTACTGAAAAGGATTTTTGCTGGATTACTGCCATATACTTACACAGCAATAAATTGCCAAAGAAAACAAAATCTGCCATGGTAGTGGTAAACACAATCTATAAATTTTCTGTGCAGAAATCTGTGCAACATTGAGATTCAGTGCCTTGGATGACATCATACTTCTGCTCATGAATATACAAATAGCATTAGCATGAAAAGCAATAAAAGCAATAAAATACAGGTTAAAATTGCCAAACAACAATTTAAAATAAGGTAAATTGAAATCCAAAGATGCACTTTCAAGGGTTTTTAGTAAAACTTATAAAAATATTTCTATTTCCTGGTTCCTTTAAATGACTTGGTGGAGCTTGAAGGAGACTGAAGGCGCTTGAGGGATAGAGTAAAGCTTGAGGGAAGTTGGAGGAAGGAATCCTTGCTCTTGCTGTGCAATAAAATCATTCACCATGCTTATTCCTTATTTATTCTTTCAACACACGCTTTTCAGTCAGGAATCACCTGTGTCTTTGTCCTTGTGCCTGTGGGGTGGGAAATATGCGGCGTCTGACAACGCTTTTGACCGGGAAGCTCGTTGTACCGAATCGATTTCCCAATCTACGGGCAGACGAGTAAAAATATGGGGGGAGTTCCCCCTTTCTGTGAATTGAAATCGATGAATGGAGCCGGGGCTTTCCGTTGTTTTGTCATAGCCGAGTTCTCCCGCGCCATTTGTTATATCACCCGGTAAAAAGTGGATTTGCCTAAGTTTGATCATGAAATACATGTTACTCCTTCTAGGCATACGTTCGTAGTTTAGAATGACTTGATTTTATAGTTTTCGTAGTTTGGAAGAAATACATTCTTTCTCATTTTGCACGGATAGTTTAAACATGAATATACCTGCAGGAAATTTGGTTAATTACACAAAATCCATACTGTTATACGCTATATAACTTATACAATGTGTGTGGTAAATTTTTAAAAAAAAGATGGCTGCATTATTTCAATCCCATGAATTATATATAATTTTTTTCTATGTTTTATTGATCAGCAAAAAACAAAACAAACATACATCAGAAAGTAACAGCACGAATCATACAAAATTAAGGAAATTGGAAAAACAGGAGATAATTAGAAAGTATCACAGAAGAGGGGGCCGTGAAGAGATGTAGAAAAATGGTCATTATACATGTACATTTGAAATGATTGCATAGGGTTTACAGAATTAGAATTGAAATTTCGGAAGACGAAAGGTTTGATTTATCCCATGTATTACATTAATTAAGGTACACAGCTTGCATCCGATCTCTTTGAGGACGCCTTCAGGTCTCAGCCAAACTGTAATGAGGCTATGGGGTTACAACCCCCCGCTGCCCCGTGGGTTCGATAACACCGTCACGCCCATGGCTCGGTGTCTTCATCGTCTGTCAGCGAGACTTACTTTGGCTAAGAGGCCGGCCGGCACCCCCCGCAAGGGGTTGGCCAAGATGAACTCTTCAACCCTCGGAAGATTTGGATGAGATGTTCCTTTCATCAATTTATCCGCCGACATGTTCTCATTATGTTTTGGGAGGGCTGGAACGATTTAAAGTTCGTGTCCACTCTCTACGGAAAGGAAAAGTGGAGCTTCCCTTGCTATCAGTTATAAAATGTGGTTCTCGACATCGTTTTTCAAAGAAAAAAAACCCAAATCGCTACCTGGAAAGATTAGGAGCGAAACATTCTCATTTCAAAACTTGAAACAGTCTGTTAGTCAATGCAATGTTTCACTAGAAAGCTCATGACGTATCTACCGTATCTATCGTCAAATAGAAACATTTTTATTTGCAAAATGGTGTATTTCAAAAGATCAAAACGTCTTCAGCTTTTTAAGGACCGTTCCCAGTACGGTAAGAACCAAAAAGGTATTATTCAGGATAATGATACCGGTAAGATAATCACCAAACTAGAACGGCATGGCTCGCTGCTTGTTATGAATTTGAATTTCTTTCCTGTAATAACAGGAAAGAAAGAGACATCCAAGTTACTCAAATATGATTACTAAATTAAACAAGAAAATACTAACCAAGCTTCATCAATATTTTGCACAAGATTGGTTGACATACGACTGCAATACAGATGTACAAGATATTTTATCGACTTTAGCAATAAAATTCATTGTACTCAAGGAGAAAAATCCTAGTTGGTGCTGTGTGCAGACTGTGTGTTGAAAAGTGCAGGCCATTTAAAAGTAAACCAGCAAAGACCACCAACAAGGGAGATATAGGTACAAAGGCTCCACAGTTCTTTACAGGAGAGAGGAATGCCTACAGAATGCGGGTGCAGTACAGTGAGACTAGACCTGGGTGATTATATTAGCCGTGCATTTGTGAGTTTGATGGATGGTGCATAATTAAAATTCCTCCAACGCACAGTTCTACACTTTGTATCTA